GACTTCTTTATTATTAATAAAATAAATGATTCAATATTATAACTCAAACTTATCCAAACATGGTTGGATCTTGCGCACCAACACTAACTATTAGTAGGTCTTATTTATTGTGGTTTAGTATTAAAAAAACCTAAAAACAATGAGAAAGAATAGTGATTCTTCCAAAAGAAATAGTTCTAGTCGAGAGAGATAGTTTAGCTACGAGAAAGAAATTTTGAATAGTGTGTTGTCGAGAGTAAAACAAGAGAGAAATTGATATTTTTTAGATTTTTGGGGTGCTCTTAATAGTAGGTATACCTTAAGGTAAATGTAATCCAACTCATCATAAAGACAAGTAGGTGTTATATAGTTTAGTGTTTATGTGTTTACTTGATAATTGAATAGTTGTGATGATATATTTACTTGATGTTTTGCACTTTAATTGTGTATCCATTCCCATTAAAATATTTTATTATGATTTTTAAGTATTTAAAGAAAGGTCATGTTCATGTTCAAAGAAGGCTTCCAAAGAGAATGATCTTATCTATACTCTATGTAAGGCTCTCGGTTCAAAGAAGGCTTACAAAGAGAATGATTTTATGTATACTCTATGTAAGGCTCTCGACTAGATCGTGTCTAGTTTTTCTTCAAGGTTTTCATAAAGTATGGATTTAAAGAAAGCTAGATCAAACATTCAACAAAGTGCATTTGAAAGAGAAAAATAAATTTCGACATGAAAGCATATTTATTAAGTCGAGTGCATGACTACTCTTATTGAGGTTTAGCTTATTATTTGTCTTATTGTATATATGAGCAAAATGATGTCTCAATGCATGCTATGATGTTAAAGATGTTGTTGTAAGTGTGCTTGAGTTTGAAAAATTATGTATTATATGTATAGGTTTAATTCCTATGTTTCATATGTTTGATCAATTTTATTTATAAACCCATGTTACATTTGAATTATTTTGATATGTCAACATATATATGAATTTACGAGTTTATAAAATAGTTTTATGATTTTTGAAAATTATGTTAGCTTTAAATATGTTAAATCACGGCTCCCTTGAAATTTAAATGAAAACATTTTCGTTATGCTATACATGTTATACACGAGGTAAAGGTCATAATACTTTTTCTCACATTATACGAGTGTGTGGCATTATCATAGCACTCATAGCCTCCCTAAAGCCAAGGGTGTTATAGTAGAGGTATAAGGAAAAGAGAAAGAGAAAAAGTCTAGCCTCGAAGGGAAGAAAAGAAAAGGAAAAAAGAAAAGAAAAAGAAATAGGGCTTAGGTTTAGTTGGGTTAGTTAGGATAAGTTGAGCTTATGCTTGAGTAAGTTCGATGCAAGAAGAAAACATAGGGGTTTTGGGCTATAGGCTTGGTTAGTCTATCGATTGGGTTTAGGCTAGTTTGTGGATTAAATGAAGCTGGGTTTACAAAGTGTTAAGCTAGACTTAGGCTAAAACTTATGCTAATTTGGTTAGATCTAGGTTAGAGAGAAAAGAAGAGTGGTTTGGGTTGGATCGGTTAGTTAGGCCGGAAATAAAACAAAGGCTCATAGGCTCATTAGATGGGTTGTAGGCCTCGGGTTTTAGGCTTTGGGTTACACATTAATGGCCTTAAGTCTAGGTTTTGTTTGGACTAAAGGGCTAGCCCAATGGGTTTCAAAATAATCTATCTTTTAAATTTAGGATTTATTTTTAGATTTTAGTAATTTTTTTGACAAGGCTATCGTAATTATTTTGACTTGAAATTTTTATATGTGCTACACGTGGGTAGCTTTAGCTTAGGTTTAAATTTTTGAATTTTTGAACTTCATTTACCACTCATTTTGAATTTATTTAATTTTTATGCCTAGTGGTTAATTGTTTAATTATCTAGGTTTCAATTTAGCCTACCGTTTAACGTTAGTTTAATCCAAAAAATTTAAGGTATGATTATATGCTTGTATATAAGTCTGTCTCAAGTTTCTTCATTTTGTGAGTTAATCATGTATTTATTTAGCATTAGTCATGATTTTATTACTTGTAATTTAGTATCACTTAGTTGTTGATCCGATCATAGATCATCGAGTATTGTAAATTCTAGAGACCGATGATGGTTCTCCATCAAATTCATAATACTAAAAAAAAAGATAAAATAAAAAACAAAAAGGTTAAAAAAAACATTTTAGATTAATTTAATAAGTCTCCTATTTGATAAGGATGGACGTTATTCTCGACAAAAACAAAAATACATCACCGTTAGTAATTAGGTTGTTCTTCAACATACAAATTATGTTAAGACTTTGAGTAGATTTGATATTAAATTGACAAGACTCCTAGTGTTGGGACCCGATGATAATTCAATATAATGTCACAATAAAAATAAAAATAAAAATTAGTTTACACAATAGACTAACTTAGAAATAATTTGGAAAAAATAGATTTTTAGGAGATATATTAGGACTAAACTAGATATGGTATGTTTTCTCGGAAAGGGTACCTTTGAATAATTGATATTTTTTTTTAAAGCATAACCAACTCCTTATCCACAGTCTCTAAATCTAGTGTAATTTTTTAGGTTTCTTAGTTCTTTTAATACTAGGTAATGACTCTAAAATATTAGTTAACTCTCATCCCTAATAAAATAGAAATCAAAATAATAAAGCAATAATAATAATTTTAGAAGTCTCCTAATTGTTGGTTGGCGACATCCACCTCGATGATTGACGTTAAGTTTCATATGAATGAATGTGATGTGTAAATGTGATATGTGTGTGTATGCGGTGAAGTAATCGGTGTCAACCTCAAGATTGACTCCGCATTTTGCATAAATAAATGTGATGTATATGTATGTAATAAAGTAATTGGTGTTAGCCTCAAAAGTTGATGTCGTGTTTTACGGAACTAAATATGATATGTGTATATGTCATGAAATAAATATGTTATGGGCTCAAAGCCATTAGTGGCTCACTAATATAATGTTATGGGTTTGAAACTATTAATGACTCACCAATCCGTGTTGTGGGCTCGAAACCATTAGTGGCCCTAATTATGTGTTAAAAGTTGAAATCCATTAATGGCTCATCAATCGTGTGTTATGGGCTCGAAGCCATTCATAGCTTACCAATTGTGTGTTGTGGGCTCAAAGCCATTCATAACTCGTCAATCATTTATTGTGGGCTTGAAGCCATTAGTAGCATGCCAATCATGAGTTATGGGTCGAAAGTCATTAGTGGCTTGCTAATCGTATGTTGTGGGCTTGAAACCATTAGTGGCTCATCAACCGTGTGCTATGGGCCCAAAGTCATTAGTGGCTCGACAATCTTATGTTAGATTAATCGCTTGCCAATTGTGTGTTGTAGGCTTAAAGCCATTGCGGCTCACCAATTGTGTGTTTTAAGCTCGAAGTCATTAGTGACTCGCCAATCATGTGTTATGGTCCGGAAGCCATTAGTGGCTTGCCAATTGTGTATTGTAGGCTCGAAGCCATTAGTGGCTCACCAATCTTGTGTTGTGGGCTAAAAGCCATTAGTAACTCGCCAATCATGTGTTGTAGGCCAAAAGACGTTAGTGGCTTACCAATCATGTGTTGTGGGCTCAAAGCCATTAGTGGCTCCTCAATCATATGTTATGAGCTCGAAACTAATAATGGCTTGTCAATCATGTAATTTGGGCTAGAAGTCTTTAGTGGCTCGCCAATCATGTGTTGTGGGCTCGAAATCATTAGTGGCTTGTCGGTCGTGTGTTATGGGCTTGAAATTATTAGTGGTTGGACAATTATGTGTTGTTGGCTCAAAACCATTAGTGGCTCACCAATTGTGTGTTATGGGCTCAAAATCGTTAATGGATCGCCAATCGTATGTTATAGGCTCACTCGTGTGTTTTTGGCTTGAAGCCATTAGTGGCTTACCAATCGTCCGTTATGGCATGAAAGCCATTAATGGCTCACCAATCATGTATTATACGCTCAAAGCCATTAGTGGCTTGCCAATCATGTGTTGTGGGCTCGAAGCTATTAGTGGCTCATCATTTCTTGAAAATTTTCTTCCTTTCATTTTAGAGTGTGGACATAGGCCTTCGACCGGTCGAACTCCTAAATCACACGATTAACCCATTTTAATAAGATAATTCACTCAAATAAGCATAGACTTATAATATCATACGACCGGACATTTACATTCAACATGCATACAATAAAGGCTAGCTCAAGTAGGGCATGGTAGCTATGATTTTGATCTTCCCTATCCATAACTAATCCCTTACCTAGATTTCTATACGGACTCCTTTCTTTCTTTTTTTCTTTTTCTTTTTACCCATTCAAGACACTAAGGATTTATGGATTGGTATTGGTTCCATAAATAAGAGTATGATTGACAATAAAGCAATAGATATCTTCAAAAGTGTGGTGTGGCTTAAGTTTAATCCTACAACTATAATATTGGGGTCTTATGCATATTAAGACCTTATACAATTCGAATTTTTTTTATTAAGATCCTAATTTTTTTCGTCTAATATAAGAATTCTACTTTTATATTGTTATTATTTTAGACCTTAATCAATAACAACTTGCCATATAAGCATAGGTCGTAAACTCTAATCAATAATTTAGGATATTAAAAAAATATATATCGAATTATAAAAGATGTCCATATGTGCAAAACCCTATAATATTGGCTAAAACTCTCTCATCACTGAATTTTTACAACTGCTATTAATCTAGACAATAAGCTATGTAATAATACATAAGGCAACTGATATTCTTAGAGCTCCATGACATTTGTACTCCGAACATGTCCGCGAGATTTGCCATATATTCCATCAACTTTTTATTCTCTTTTTCGATTCCAATTCCCAGAGCCTATCATTTAACTTCCATTTTGACCGAAAAAATAAAACACCGAAAACACCGCTATAAATATCCCAGTCACTCCCCACTTTCCCATTTATCAGAAATTCAATTAGGAGTAAAACACTGCTTCTCTTGCTCCTTAAATTGCCTAAAAAAAGCAACGCCAAACAGTCACACGAAAATGACTTCTCACCATATCTCAACCCACAGAGAAAACGCAGAGATCCACACCGGCGAGGCACTTTGCAAGCAAAAGTCTGTAGAATTACTCGAGGAGATCCACCTCCCCAAGGGTCTCCTCCCTCTCGATGACATCGTCGAGGTGGGTTATAATCGCAATACCGGGTTCGTCTGGTTGAAGCAAAAGAAGAGAAAAGATCACAGATTTCATAAAATCGGACGCCAAGTATCTTACGATACTGAGGTGACAGCTTTTGTCGAGGACCGTCGGATGCGGAGACTGACTGGGGTCAAGACCAAGGAGCTTTTGATTTGGGTCTCCATCTCAGATATTTATATTGACGAGAGGGATTTGGAGAAAATAACGTTTGGTAATCCGACAGGGATCTCTAGGACTTTTCCAGTTTCGGCCTTTGAGCTTGAGGAGGAGAAGAAGTGAGGTTTCTTTTATTACATTGGGTATTAATTGTTTTAGGATTTTCAGAAACCTGAGGGTGTGTGTGTTTTTATGATATTTAATATGTTATGAAATTTACGCATTTCAAATTCGTTAATGCTTGGATTAGTTGAATTTGACGCTTCTGTTAAGGTGCATTTTGAGAAATAATTATTAGATATAATGAGAGTTGTGCTCTCCGTACATTTATAAATACCGAACTTATTATGATTTTTTTTTTTTTTTTTTTTTAGTTTTAACTTTCTACATATAAATATTAGTAGATCGGATTCCATTTGTTAAATAAATAGATCAGATCCAATCGAATCCTAACGTGCTTGGATGATGGTTTGTTATTAGATTTTTGTTCATCTATGCTTTTTGTATACTTTGAATTGTACCCGTGTTTATTGAGATTTCAAAATGAATCATCAAAATAACAATGAACCATTGCCAAATGTTTATCTCATCCGTTGGTCAAAAATTATATATGTTTTGATTGAGATTATTTATGGATTCTGTACACTCTAATTTTATTTTATTTTTTTCCGTGATGATTTAATTTTCATTACAATGTGTTTAGTTTTTTTCTGTGATTACATGGTTGGTTAGTGATTCTGTTTTATAGAGCAATGGAGAGTTTAATGAAAACAATAAAAGTATTTTAGTGTTTTTTTTTTTTTAATGTTAAACAAAAGTCTATTTGAGAAAACGATAAAAATTTTGTGGTATTTTTTTCTAAAAAAAAAAAAATTGTTAAACAGAAGTTTAATTGAGAGCGCAATAGAACTTTTCAGAATTTCTTATTTTTTACTATTTGGAATTTCTTACTTTTCATAGATGTATTTTTATTTTGAATTGGTCATTAAGTGAAAATTAGATTTCTCTTAAATAAATTAGAGATATTATCACTTTTTTTAATATAGATAAATATCTTTTTTATATAGATAATTAACTACTAGTAAGGAATATTACTATTTTGATATAGATAATTAGTTAGTAATCGGTTTTTTTTTAAATTCATTTTAATTATTATTGTTTTCATTTTAATTTTGACAAACATTTTAATTTTGATAAACACATTTATACTGTGTTTCTTTTTTAATTGCATATTACAGTTGTTTTTTTTATGTATTTTATTATTTTTAAATTATTATAATTATTTTTTATTAAAAAAATATTCTTCAAAATTTTAACGTGATAAGGCCTACACTTTGAGGACCATCACTCCAAAATATCATGAATTCAAATTGGATCATAACATGCCTTTAAATATTCATTTATATCATTCATTTGCTATTTATCTTCTCTTTTTACTAATGTTTTCAGCTTTCATCTTTTGATGCTTCCACACCTCATTCACGACGATTACAAACTATGATTCACTCTTTCAACTTATGTGCATTTATTTTCAAACTAATTGACTTCAATTTCTCTAAAATAAAAAATAAAAAAATCAGAGATGCAAGTCTGTAAGCATTTTCATTTTAAAAATGATTGTATCACTCAAAACATTTGGATGTAACCAATCTCTAATAATTTTTAAACAGAGAGGTTTGGGAATTTCTTTTGGAAAGATTGCAAGCCGCGAAATTCGGGGTTGTTTTCTGACGAAATGGAGCGCAGATATTTTTAGGCAAACAAATATTAGTGAATTTCATAAGTGATTCATGGATTTCGAAAAAAAAAAAAAAAACTATAGTCTTGCTTAGAATTTGTCGAAGATTTTCTTTCCCCTAGGTATCTTTAAACCTTGGTACCATAAACGATGATGCAAAGCATGCTGGTTGCCCATAATCTTTTCTAACAATGATGCAAACTTTGTTTTTTAATTTTCTGTCGCTATTTCTCTCTTTTTTCTTTTCTTTTTTTTTTTTGATATATCTCTCTCCTCAAAATAGGTTCATAGAATAATTATTATATATGTTATTAATTACTCATTATGTATTATAAAATTTTTCTAGATTGCCACTTATCAAACTTGACATGTCATCTTTTTATTAGAAAAAATTTGTTAAAAACACATAATGTAGCCCAGTAGTATGCATGCAAGAAATAAGAGATATAACATACTCAAAAAGTGTTCATATGGTAAAAGACTTAAAGGTCATTTTTGAATATCCATGAAGATTTATCTTGAATTAACATCAAACATTGCCACTTGAATTATTGGTTTTTTTTTTCCTTGAAGTCCAATCTTATCATCAATTTTGAATTTCTGCATCGGCTTTGACCTTCAATTCTCGGTCATGGATTCTTTGGACCAATTTATTTTTTATGTTTTGAAATTTTTGTTGAAATGTCAAAGGGATTTTCTAAGATGATCCAGCATGAATCGTTGTCACCCTGTAAGCTTGTTTGGAGAACCTCATTGATCATTTCTTGTTGGAGAACCTCATTAATCTTTCATGAACTTCTAACATTTCCCCTAGTGGGAGGTGCGGTCCTGATCTGGATTTATGTGGAGTAAATCATTTAGGTTCAAAATGAGACAATGGATATTTTCTCTCTTTGCGAAGGATATATCAAGGATGATCTTTTTCCATCTCTTGATGTGAGTTACTTGGATTGATAAATCTTGGCACCGTCTAGAGAAATTTGTCCACCCGGTGAAATGAGAAAATATTGTTTGATTGGGTCCGTGACCTTACAGCTTACTGCGCTCATTACGTAGGTCATCAAAACAGAAATTGCATTAAACTAGACAAGACTCTTAATAAGAAAATGTTTTTTGGTTCGTGGTTGCATAAGATGAATTACCTTTTATGTCTGCATGTCATGCTATGGATTCTGACAAAAAGTGTTTGAACATTTTAATTGATTTGTTATTCTATCCTTTCCATCATGGATGGAATTGAATGCCAAAAACCACTTTCAAAAAGAAAAATCTCATTATTTCTAGATCAAAAAATAAAACTCAACTTGTTAAAGAGGTGCCATTTGTTTTGAAAACAAATGAAAAGGAGGGATCTTTGGAAATACTTAGAAGTTCAACCTACTATTTTTGCAGGGAGTTTGATTAGTTTGTCAAACCCAAGTAAAGAGCTATATTCTCTCATATTTTTTTATACACTAGTTTATTAATAACATTAAACTGTATAATGGTATAGCATATTAGTAGATTTGGGTATTTGTTGGGGTAAGTGAAAGAGTGCAGAAAATAAAAAAGAAAGACAATTAGGGTGAAACGCGTGCAACGAGACATTTTGGCCTGAATCTCATATTTTATCACTTCGAAGAAAAATTAGTACATTTCAAGAATTGTGTTTTTTTTCACTACATGAGAGTTTATAGATTTTGGCAAATCATCCCCATCCATACTAGACAAGATAAACGCACCTCTTAGAAACATCTTCTTCACCACAAAAGGACCCTCATAATTGAACGTTAACTTGCTTCTAACATCTTCCTGAGCACTAGATATCTTTTTCAAAACTTCCTAAAACATAGCTTTTTGTCATATGACATGGCAACACTCTTTGATACAAAAAACATAATAATTTTTATTTTTACATTTTCTCCTCGTCGAGGATGACATCCACTAAAAGAAGTTAAGGCTTTAGCGACGAAAATTTTCATCACTAAACCTAAAATTCCTATCGTTATTTTCATTTAGAGACAAAATGGCAACGAAACAAAATTGTTGGTAAAATGCTTGTTGTTAATGCTTTTAGCAATAGAATTGACATGTCATCGTAAAGTAGTGACATATATTTTGTCGCTATATTGATATATTTCCATCACTAATTTGATTAAAAAAAAAACAATTGTTTTGTTATTATAACATCTCGTTGCTAAACCGTCGCTAAGTTGTTTTTTTTTTCATCGCCATATAGTGATAGAAAATCCATTGCGGACCATGGTCACTAAACCGTAGCATGGTGTCACTAATCTACCAATGGATTATGGATTTTATATCCGTTGCTAAAATCCATCATTAAAAAATTAATAATTTTTTTCTCATCATTAGACAGTCGTTGATCCATCACTAATAAATAAAATATATTTTTTTAGTTCGTTACTAGTGATTTAATACTTAATTATAGTAGTAAACAACTAAGAATAAATAAAATTTATAACATGAAATATTATCGTGTACAATAAACATAATATAGAATCAAATCATATATATATATATATATATATATAGACACACACACACATATATGTTTCGGTGTATGAAAATATTAAAAAACTACAAAAAAGTCTAGTCATCCACATCATCATTTTCTACATCATCTTTCCGTTGTTGAGTATTGATAAGGTTAGTAGGAGGGAATGGTGGTTGAAAATAGATTTGCATGTCCTTTAACGACTACACACACACACACACACATACGTTTTAGTGTATTAAAATATTAAAAAATTACAAAAAAATCTAGTCATCCACATCATCTTTCTATTGTGGAGTATTGATAGGGTTAGTAGAGGGAAGGGCGGTTGAAAACAGATTTACATGTCCTCTAACGACTTGTAACACTCCCAACTTAAGACCTAAATAGGTTGAGAATATTATTGTTATTGACCTACATTCGGAGTGCAATGAATGTAAGCCAATAAAACATTACGTCTTTCATATAACATTACTAGGTATGGGTTATGCTTGCAAAAGACTACTAAATAACTAACAAGCCCTAAATTTCGAGTCCAAAAGCCCTAAATTTCAATCCAAAATGCATTGCTAAATTTTTTATTTTAATATTTTATTTAAATGGTTTGAATTGAATTGAATGGATCTATGTTTGTTGATTTTGTCAAATTCTTTTTCTATAAGCTTGTATAAATTTGTTAAATTCATTTAGTAAATACCCATTATTCGTTGGTTAAACATTTATTACTATCCTTTTTCTTATTATTTTCATGGCCACTTAATTGTTCAGTTTATCATTGATGTCAACTTGCAAATAATTAATTAAAATAAACTACTACTACTATGCATCACTTTAATATTATATTATTATCAACATGTCAAAATTTGGTTGATGTACAACCTATCCATATTT